TCGCTAGAATACGAGCACAGCGAGCCCGTTCAGGTCACACAAACTTCAGTGATCATATTCATTTTGAAGGTTCACATTATTCTTAGACAACAAAAATCTTTTATGAATTTAGCTTCTCAGGGACACTGAAGTGTCATTTTGTAATAATTCCTAAACGTGCTCGCTGCGCTCGCATTCTGATTGTTGCTATTTTTAATAATTTAGTGTCAAAAAAAAATTACAAATGAAGCGTTAAAGAAGCTCTTCGGGTTTTATTGCAATCATAAATTTCTAATATTTCTGTGAACATTAATACTTAAAAAAATATAAGCAATATGATGCGGGCGCAGAGAGCACGTTTAGGTTGTATGAGTTCCAGATCCAGAGTCATAAATATTTTTTAGAGACACTTCTTTTAAGTAACACTAGAATTTTTGCTATAGTTGTGTCTATGAAAGTAAATTAATAACAAAAAATGAATCTCTAGAATACGAGCACAGCGAGCCCGTTCAAGTCACACAAACTTCAGTGATCATATCTATTTTGAAGGTTTACATTATTCTTAGTCAACAAAAACCTTTTATGAATTAAGCTTCTCAGGGACGCTGAAGTGTCATTTTATAATAATTCCTAAACGTGCTCGCTGCGCTCGCGTTCTGATTGTTACTATTTTTAATAATTTAATTTCAAAAAAAAAATACAAAGGAACCGTTAAAGAAGCTCTTCGGGTTTTATTGCAATCATAAATTTCCAATATCTCTGTGAACCTTAATACTTAAAAAAATATAAGCAATATGATTCGAGCGCAGAGAGCACGTTCAGGTTGTATGAGTTCCAGATCCAGAGTCATAAATATTTTTAGAGACACTTCTTTTAAGTGACAATATAATTTTTGCTAGTGGTTGTGTCTATGAAAGTAAATTAATAACAAAAAATGAATCGCTAGAATACGAGCACAGCGAGCCCGTTCAGGTCACACAAACTTCAGTGATCATATTCATTTTGAAGGTTCACCTTATTCTTAGACAACAAAAATCTTTTATGAATTTAGCTTCTCAGGGACACTGAAGTGTCATTTTATAATAATTCCTAAACGTGCTCGCTGCGCTCGCGTTCTGATTGTTGCTATTTTTAATAATTTAGTCTCAAAAAAAAATACCAAGGAACCGTTAAAAAGCTCTTCGGGTTTTATTGCAATCATAAATTTCTAATATCTCTGTGAACCTTATTACTTAAAAAAATATAAGCAATATGAAGCGAGCGCAGAGAGCACGTTCAGGTTGTATGAGTTCCAGATCCAGAGTCATAAATATTTTTTAGAGACACTTCTTTTAAATAACAATATAATTTTTGCTAAGAGTTGTGTCTATGAAAGTAAATTAATAACAAAAAATGAATCTCTAGAATACGAGCACAGCGAGCTTGTTCAAGTCACACAAACTTCAGTGATCATATTCATTTTCAAGGTTCACATTATTCTTAGACAACAAAAATCTTTTATGAATTTAGCTTCTCAGGGACGCTGAAGTGTCATTTTATAATAATTCCTAAACGTGCTCGCTGCGCTCGCGTTCTGATTGTTGCTATTTTTAATAATTTAGACGCAAAAAAAAATACAAATGAACTGTTAAAGAAGCTCTTCGGGTTTTATTGCAATAATAAATTTCCAATATCTATGTGAACCTTATTACTTAAAAAAAATATAAGCAATATGATGCGAGCGCAGAGAGCACGTTTAGGTTGTATGAGTTCCAGATCCAGAGTCATAAATATTTTTTAGAGACACTTCTTTTAAGTAACACTAGAATTTTTGCTATAGTTGTGTCTATGAAAGTAAATTAATAACAAAAAATGAATCGCTAGAATACGAGCACAGCGAGCCCGTTCAGGTCACACAAACTTCAGTGATCATATTCATTTTGAAGGTTCACATTATTCTTAGACAACAAAAATCTTTTATGAATTTAGCTTCTCAGGGACACTGAAGTGTCATTTTGTAATAATTCCTAAACGTGCTCGCTGCGCTCGCATTCTGATTGTTGCTATTTTTAATAATTTAGTGTCAAAAAAAAATTACAAATGAAGCGTTAAAGAAGCTCTTCGGGTTTTATTGCAATCCTAAATTTCTAATATTTCTGTGAACATTAATACTTAAAAAAATATAAGCAATATGATGCGGGCGCAGAGAGCACGTTCAGGTTGTATGAGTTCCAGATCCAGAGTCATAAATATTTTTTAGAGACACTTTTTTTAAATAACAATATAATTTTTGCTAAAAAGTGTCTATGAAAGTAAATTAATAACAAAAAATGAATCTCTAGAATACGAGCACAGCGAGTCCGTTCAGGTCACACAAACTTCAGTGATCATATTCATTTTGAAGGTTCACATTATTGTTAGACAACAAAAATCTCTTATGAATTTAGCTTCTCATGGAAACTGAAGTGTCATTTTATAATAATTCCTAAACGTGCTCGCTGCGCTCGCGTTCTGATTGTTACTATTTTTAATAATTTAATGTCAAAAAAAAAAAATACAAAGGAACCGTTAAAGAAGCTCTTCGGGTTTTATTGCAATCATAAATTTCTAATATCTCTGTGAACCTTATTACTTAAAAAAATATAAGCAATATGATGCGAGCGCAGAGAGCACGTTCAGGTTGAATGAGTTCCAGATCCAGAGTCATAAATATTTTTTAGAGACACTTCTTTTAAATAACAATATAATTTTTGCTAAGAGTTGTGTCTATGAAAGTAAATTAATAACAAAAAATGAATCTCTAGAATACGAGCACAGCGAGCCCGTTCAAGTCACACAAACTTCAGTGATCATATCTATTTTGAAGGTTTACATTATTCTTAGTCAACAAAAACCTTTTATGAATTAAGCTTCTCAGGGACGCTGAAGTGTCATTTTATAATAATTCCTAAACGTGCTCGCTGCGCTCGCGTTCTGATTGTTACTATTTTTAATAATTTAATTTCAAAAAAAAAATACAAAGGAACCGTTAAAGAAGCTCTTCGGGTTTTATTGCAATCATAAATTTCCAATATCTCTGTGAACCTTAATACTTAAAAAAATATAAGCAATATGATTCGAGCGCAGAGAGCACGTTCAGGTTGTATGAGTTCCAGATCCAGAGTCATAAATATTTTTAGAGACACTTCTTTTAAGTGACAATATAATTTTTGCTAGTGGTTGTGTCTATGAAAGTAAATTAATAACAAAAAATGAATCGCTAGAATACGAGCACAGCGAGCCCGTTCAGGTCACACAAACTTCAGTCATCATATTCATTTTGAAGGTGCACATTATTCTTAGACAACAAAAATCTTTTATGAATTTAGCTTGTCAGGGACACTGAAGTGTCATTGTATAGTAATTCCTTAACGTGCTCGCTGCGCTCGCGTTCTGATTGTTGCTATTTTTAATTATTTAGTCTCAAAAAAAAAATACAAAGGAACCGTTAAAGAAGCTCTTCGGGTTTTATTGCAATCATAAATTTCCAATATCTCTGTGAACCTTAATACTTAAAAGAATATAAGCAATATGATTCGAGCGCAGAGAGCACGTTCAGGTTGTATGAGTTCCAGATCCAGAGTCATAAATATTTTTAGAGACACTTCTTTTAAGTGACAATATAATTTTTGCTAGTGGTTGTGTCTATGAAAGTAAATTAATAACAAAAAATGAATCGCTAGAATACGAGCACAGCGAGCCCGTTCAGGTCACACAAACTTCAGTCATCATATTCATTTTGAAGGTGCACATTATTCTTAGACAACAAAAATCTTTTATGAATTTAGCTTGTCAGGGACACTGAAGTGTCATTGTATAGTAATTCCTTAACGTGCTCGCTGCGCTCGCGTTCTGATTGTTGCTATTTTTAATTATTTAGTCTCAAAAAAAAAATACAAAGGAACCGTTAAAGAAGCTCTTCGGGTTTTATTGCAATCATAAATTTCTAATATCTCTGTAAATCTCATTACTTAAAAAAATATAAGCAATATGATGCGAGCGCAGAGAGCACGTTCAGGTTGTATGAGTTCCAGATCCAGAGTCATAAATATTTTTTAGAGACACCTCTTTTAAGCAACAATATAATTTCTGCTAATAAGTGTCTATGAAAGTAAATTAATAACAAAAAATGAATCTCTAGATTCTAGAATACGAGCACAGCGATCCCGTTCAGGTCACTGAAGTGTCATTTTATAATAATTCCTAAACGTACTCACTGACATAAGCTTTATAAGAATTCTTTGGGCGTTTCTAAACAAATATTTATTTCTAGAAGGTTAACAACCGACGTCACATGATTTAACGTGATCTGACGTGAGATGACCTGACTTGACAGGGCTGACCTGACCTGACATGACCTGAAAATGCTTTTTAGGGCCAGGGAAGGAAATTTTTAGACAGATTTTTTGTTATTACTGACATATCCACTGATCTATTGATTCACTGTAGGTAGACCACCCTAGCCTATATACCAAACAATTTTGGAAAATATAAGCAATGGGGATATTCACTTATAGTTTATGAATGTATTGGGATAATTCTGGAAGTTTCTAAGTAAATATGATGCCGCCCGTAACAGTTTTAACACATTAAAATAGACAACCTTTGGAACTAGTGTTTTTAGTTAATCGTTGATATTGGTGATATCTCGCCGTTTTCCATCCTGTCACACAAAAAACCCACTGTTTGTATATGCTTTTCCTTATGTTGTCATGTTAACGCGCTATGCATACGCTCCACTTTGACGAAACACTCTTTCTTCTCCGAGCGTGCATCGCCTAGAAACGACAGTCATTACCGCCCTCGTTCCGCAACGTCTTTTCCACCCGGTGCGGTAACCGTCTTCTAGAACCTCTGATCTCCAAGTGCCAAGCAGGCAGGCGCGCAAAGGCCATCGGTCGCTTCTCCCGTTATGGCCTTCAGGTGTTTTCCTGTTGCGTAGGTAAACATCCAAGAAGTGGGTAGGTGAAGTCGCTTTCGACTATTACATCATAGCTACAGGTTGCCGAAGGCGTGGCAACGTTTCGCTGAGCACGCACGGCACCGTGCACTAAGTGCGCGTCTTTCCCCCCAAGCTAGTATGTAGTAAAACCCAAAAGTAATAGATGAGCTGGAGCCCAGCTGGTGAGTGCGTGCGGTGCGGACCGAAAGACCTCGACGTTTGCGTAACTCCATTAGTTATTCCACGTGGCGCGACCTAATGTCGCTCTCCCATTGAGCCCATTCGACCCATTTCGAGCGGCAGGAGATACGGAGGCCGATTTCAGCAGGAGCGGTGAGATTACGTCGGAAATTTTGTGAATGAGAGCGAGTGGACGAGGATGATGTACGCAGCTAGCAAGTGAAGTTTTTCGGGATTGTTGAGCTTCTGGCAAGAGTAGGTGAGTGATTTTGATTTGATTGCGAGATTAAGGCGGTGTTGATTTTCTTGTTAGTGCTGAGGTGATAAAGGCTGTCGTAACGGTCGGTTGGTAACGTGAGAGAGGAGCGATTGTTTACATTGGGATTGGACTTTCGCTGGTTTTGTCGACGTTTTTTGGGGAAGGAACGAGATAGGCGCAAGGTTGGAGCACAGATTTTTGTAAAATGGAAAACATTCAACTCGTAGTTTTGATTTTTTTTTCCATGTAGTTTCCGTGATGAATTTCCAAAATTTTTTAAAAACGCCGTGTTATAATTATTTCTCACACTTTCAACTTATTCTTGACTCGTCTGAAATTACTCAAATTCAGTTAAAATTCCGTTCTCTTGAACCAGAGCACGGTGATCAATAGAGTCCGGAATATATGCAATTTGCATATTCAGTCTCATCCACATAACTTTCAAAACATTTAAGATCCTTTTCATTTTTTTTTTCAATTAATAGCGATTCATGTTTATGCATATTGCACAATTTGCATAGTCTACGCTTTGGCGTTTTTGGCGTTAGTTTGCATATTTTTGCATTTTTTCGAATTTCCGTCAATTTGTCGATTACTATTTTATTATCACTGTGTTTGTTTTGACGGTGTGCATTCTAAAAATTGAAGTACGCTAAAAGTGTTCCTAAAATATCCACGAAGTGTTTCAATTGCATAAAAAATTGTGATAGTTCCTTGGAGTCTGACTCGTAGTTAAGAAATAATTTTAAATTTGGGAAACGTAAGTACGATTACAAAACGTCCATTGTTTTTAATGAGTCTCATAACGTCATCATCTTTATAAAATTAGTTTAATCAGGAAAGTGTGGAATATATACAATTTGCATATTCACACTCATCCACCAATTGGCTAATTTGGTAATTAGTTAAATTGACTTTGGTGCGTTTTTGCTTATTCCACCTTTTTGGGTTTCTTAGGTTATTTTGCATATTTGTTTGCATCTTACCGACATTTTGACTAATTTGCCGATTTTTACTAGTGTATTAGTTTCGAATTTGTGCGTTCTGAAAAATTGAAATATGCTGAAAGTATTTCCAAAATATCCACGTAGCATTTCGGTTGCAAAAAATCTGGTACTATTTTCCAGGTGGATTCCCAAAGAAATATTTTTAGAGTTTGAAGAACTACCAGTACGGTCAGGAATATTTGCAATTTGCATATTTACTCCCATCCACATAAATTTCATAACACGAGATCTTCCTCATTTTCCTAATTTATCAACGATTGACTTTAGTGCTTTTTTGCATATTTTATTTTTCACATTTTTGCGCATTTGAGATTTCATTTGCATATTTTTGCATTTTTTTTTTGTATATTTTCGATTTTCGACCAATTTGCCGATTTTTACTTTACGAACAATGCATTAGTTTTGAAATTGTGCGTTCTGAAAAATTGAAGTATGCTGAAAGTATTTCTAAAATATCCACGTAGCATTTCGGTTGCAAAAAATCTGGTATTTTTTTCCAGGTGGATTCCTAAAGGAATATTTTTAGAGTTTGAAGAACTACCAGTACGATTTGAATCAGTACAGTCCGGAATATTTGCAATTTGCATTTTTACTCCCATCCACATAAATTTTAAAACAAAAGATTTTCATCATTTTACTAATTTATCAACGATTATGTTTAGTGTTTTTTGCATATTTTATATTTCACATTTTTGCGCATTTGAAATTTCATTTGCATATTTTTGAATTTTTTTTTGTATATTTTCGATTTTCGACCAATTTGCCGATTTTTATTTTACGAACATTGTATTAGTTTTGAAACTGTGCGTTCTGAAAAATTGAAGTATGCTGAAAGTATTTCTAAATATCCACGTAGCATTTCGGTTGCCAAAAATCTGGTACTTTTTTCCAGGTGTATTCCTAAAGGAATATTTTTAGAGTTTGCAGAACTACCAGTACGGTTTGAATCAGTACAGTCCGGAATATTTGCAATTTGCATATTTACTCCCATTCACATAAATTTCAAAACACAAGATCTTCATCATTTTACTAATTTATCAACGATTGACTTTAGTGGTTTTTTGCATATTTTATATTTCACATTTTTGCGCATCTGAGATTTCATTTGCATATTTTTGCATTTTTTTTTTGTATATTTTCGATTTTCGACCAATTTGCCGATTTTTACTTTACGAACATTGCATTAGTTTTGAAATTGTGCGTTCGGAAAAATTGAAGTATGCTGAAAGTATTTCTAAAATATCCACGTAGGATTTCGGTTGAAAAAAATCTGGTACTTTTTTCCACTTGGATTTTTTGCATGTTTACTCCCATCCACATAACTTTCAAAACATAAGATCTTCTTCATTTTACTAATTTACCAACGATTGACCCTAGTACCTTTTTGCATATTTTATATTCCACGTTTTTGCGCATTTGAGGTAGTTTGCAAATTTTTGCATATTTTCGATTTTCGATCAATTTACCGATTTTTACTTTACGAATATTGTATCGGTTTTGAGATTGTGCGTTCTGAAAAAACGAAGTATGCTGAAAGTATTTATAAAATATCTACGTAATATTTCAGTTGCAAAAAAATCTGGTACTTTTTTCCACTTGGATTCCGTTGTAAAGGAATATTTTTAGAGTTTGAAGAACTACCAGTACGGTTTTAATCAGTTCAATGTGGAATATTTGCAGTTTGCATATTTACTCCCATCCACATGACTTTCAAAATATTTAAGATTTTCATCATTTTACTAATTTACCAACGATTGACTTTAGTACCTTTTTGCATATTTTATATTCCACATTTTTGCGCATTTGAGGTAGTTTGCAAATTTTTGCATTTTTTTTTGATATTTTCGATTTTCGATCAATTTAACGATTTTTACTTTACGAATATTGTATCGGTTTTGAAATTGTGCGTTTTGAAAAAACGAAGTATGCTGAAAGTATTTATAAAATATCTACGTAATATTTCAGTTGCAAAAAAATCTGGTACGTTTTTCCACTTGGATTCCTCTGTAAAGGAATATTTTTAGAGTTTGAAAAACTAACAGTACGGTTTCAATTAGTACAGTTTGGAGTATATGCAATTTGGATATTTACTTTCATCAACTTTCAAAACACTTACGATTTTCATCATTTTACTAATTTACCAACGATTGAGTTTAGTACCTTTTTGCATATTTTATATTCCACATTTTTGCGCATTTGAGGTTAGTTTGCAAATTTTTGCATTTTTTTTGCATATTTTCCATTTTCGATCAATTTACCGATTTTTACTTTACGAACATTGTATCAGTTTTGAAATTGTGGGTTCTGAAAAAACGAAGTATGCTGAAAGTATTTATAAAATATCTACGTAATATTTCAGTTGCAAAAAAATCTGATACTTTTTTCCAGGTGGATTCCTTTATAAAGGAATATTTTTTGGGTTTGAAGAACTAACAGGACGGTTTTAATCAGTGCAGTCCGGAATATATGCAATTTGCATATTTACTCTCATCCACATAACTTACAAAACACTTAAGATCTTCATCATTTTACTAATTTATCAACTTTAGTGCCTTTTTGCATATTTTATATTCGACCTTTTTGCACAGTTGAGGTAGTTTGCAAATTTTTGCATATTTTCGATTTTCGAGCAATTTACCGAATTTTATTTTACGAACATTGTATCGGTTTTGAAATTGTGTGTTCTGAAAAAACGAAGTATGCTGAAAGTATTTATAAAATATCTACGTAATATTTCAGTTGCAAAAAATATGCAATTTGCTTATTTACTCTCATCCCCATCACTTTCAAAACAATTATAATATTCGTCATTTGACTAATTTGCGATTGACTTTTATGCTTTTTGCATATTTCAGTTTCCATGTTTTTGTGTATTTGATGTTAGTTTGCATATTTTCGCATTTGTTTGCATATTTTAGATTTTTGACTAATTTGCCGATTCTTATTTTATTATCACTGTATTAGTTTTGAAATTGTGCGTTCTAAAAATTGAAATATGGTGAAAGTATCTCAAAAAATCCACGTGGTATTCCAGTTGCAGAAAAAGTTCTGATACTTGTTTCCAGGTGGACTCCCCCGTGAAGAAATATTTTTAGACTTTGAAGGACTAACAGTATGGTCTTAAAACGTCCATTATGTCTAAAAATGGACTGACAACGTCATAATTTCTATAAAATTAAATTAATCAGTAGAGTCCGGAATATATACAATTTGCATATTTACTCTCATCCACATCAGTGTGTGTCAAAACACTTAAGATCTTCATCGTTTCACTAATTTATTAACAATTGACGTTGGTGCCTTTTTGCATATTTCATATTCCATGTATTTCACGCTTTACATATTTCAAATTAGTTTGAATATTTTCGATTCAATTTTTTGCTCTCCTCAGTTATTAAAAAAATCTGCTACACGATGTAATAAACCTTGTTTTATACTAAAATTAAAAAAAATTCCATTTGTTAAAATATGCACAAATCACGTGTGTTTACGTTGGACACTTTAACTTTTATGAACACAATTTTCATCTGGAAATATTGAAAAGTATTAGTCACAAAATAATTTACAATATAGGAATTTAACAAATTACGTGTAACGTGCAAGCGATTACCTACTTTATTTATATTGTGTTTACGTATTTAAAGTGGACTGGTATGTGTATGAGTAATAAACCCGATATTTAATCATTACAACATATTTGGTACAAAAATGAGCACATTTTGCACGTTTTGTACATAATTTTATGCATATTTTATGGTAAAACAAACGGTAAGCGTAAATTATATGTTCATCCCCACTAAAAATTTGATGACGTCACATCAACATTCTTTTGAATTAATGTAATGAATTTGGTGTAAGTTACAGGGCTTAAAGTTAATTCAAGTAGTTTGTAATCAAGGCAACTTGAGCATTTCCGGTTAACGCCCTTGTAATTAGCAGGTACTACTTAGTTGATAATTTACGACTTGTTATCATTAAGTTAAATATCGTATT